CGCTAGTCAATGTAGCTTTGTAGATGCGTGGTCATTCCAAGAGTTATCAAGAATGTGATACCACCCTCAGCGGGTTGAGGACTTTAGGTGGCAGGTTGATCCGCGTAAAAACATTGACATTCGTATGGAACTGAAAATTTGATCATCATTGAAGGCTTCTTTAATGGGACAAGCCCGCCACAACCTCCCAAAACCGCTGCAACTCCTGTAAGCCAGGATCTACAGTAGATACAACCATGAAAACACCGGAACATTGAAGTCCGGCGCGTCCCAGGGACATGAGTAGCTGTCTTGGTACCCGCAACGAAGTGAATCAGAAGATATTATAGAGGAGAAGAAAAAAAAACTATAGTTTCCACTTCTCTCGGTGAATTACTGCAGGAGACAGAATGAATGAAGCCTAATGGCACAAAGAAGAGACTGTACAACTGGGTGAAGCTCAGTCGCCAAGCACCACGGAAATTTGACTAAAAAACTAAGTGGGTCCTATGTGTGAGCTGTTATACTTGCTTCCAATAATAGGTATGGCAAAAGCGCCTAAACGCACGGAAATTTGTTCTAGATTCCACAACGTCCGTATAATAAGCTACACCTGACGAAACAATTAAATTATTTAACATAGTTCATTGAAGGCTATCAAATACAAGGTATATAATCCCAAATGAAGAATTTCAATAACTGTATTTTCGTGTAAATATCACAAATCATTAATAGGCAACACCGCAAAACTGTTTCTAACATATATTTGTGTATATTATGCCTACGCTTACGGAAATGTTATTGACTGGCGGATCCATAAACACTGTTTACTCCGATCGATATTTTTGTCATGTCGTTAATCATTTGTTTTTAATATGGAGGCTGATGAACTAGGTATATTTGCGCTTTCTAACATGTAGTTGGATGTTTTTTATGTTTCGGTTATTCAGTAAATGAATTTCAAAATATACGTTTTTACTTCTAGCATCACAATCCTTTATTGTCGCTTAACAGTATTCCCGTCATGTCACTATTTAATAATTATGTAATATTCCAAAATATTATTAATTATTACCCTTCTATCCTACCTAGTTAAATGTGACTCTTATCTCTAATGTAACAAGCCTTATGAATTAACGTCAACCCTTTACATGTCCTTCCTGTCTAAAGTTACGATCCGATGTTTTAAGCACAGATAAATAGTGAAATGGACATACGCACATTTAATGTTACACCCACTTCTGACTAGGATTATGATGTCGAAATACTCAAACGCCACTCAATTTTATATCGTGCTTAAATATAGTTCTGTTACTACAAATTCTGTGTAAAATGACAGAGCTACAACTTAAAAATCAGTAGCCTTTCAGTATTCGGGCGTGAGTCCCTTGAACTAGGTACACATTTCTGTACCTGAGCCTTTTGAACTGCAATCTCCAGCCCGTCTGCCTAGCTTGAAGATTATGATGAATGATTATATTCGCCTGCACCGTATTGGTATAGTGACTGGACAACAGACTGCTAAGGTGTCGTGGGAATAACTTTAATGTGTTTGACAGATTGTTATTCCGGATCTGTGTATGTGAATGAATAATATGGGGGAATTTGTATCCACAATATAAGAGACAATCCTACTACAGGACCATGATATTCAAAATATGATAAACCTTCTTATGTACCTAAAAAAGGCTAATTGTCTATTTGACTATCAAGGGGTGTTGTTGATGATGATGATGCATATTCTTAAGGATTCTGTTAGCACAAGGATACATTACTGCATCTGCCAGAACAAAACATTTAGCTTCTGTTTGATTTGCAATGCAAGTGAACAAAAAGTCATTAGCAAATCTTAGTTGGAATATGTCCAATGCAACGGTAACTGTGTAACGGTACAAACTACAAAATAGATTATGGTCTTAAGGTTCAAGTTAGATAAGCAAATTGCAAATTAAACCAAACTAGTCTGAATTACCAAACCAGTGTAGGTGTTAAATGTGTTGAGCGTTGCAACCTGCAATTTAGAGGTAGTTCATACACGTGGTTTTACAATCAAATCTTTTGATCAATCTAAGTTTATGACTGAATAAATCTCTATAGAACGAATGTAGAGGTAAACAAATCTCAATGTGCTTCACTGATATATATGATCTGATCTTTTAAGTTCGATCTCCAAACCGTCTACGGGTGGAGGTGCCGACCCCCTCTTTCATGGAAAAGGTGTAGTCCAGGAGTCGAATCAATATGGCCACCGTAAGCATCTCCGGCCAGCGTAAGCACGAGCCTGCGGACGGCGAGCACGAGTGACTCGCCGCCCGTACAGAACCAGGCCCGAGCGTACGGCGCGTCGCGTTCTGCGCGCGACTCAAGGAGCTATCAGACCACCACGGATGGGGCCCAACAGGGCCGATGCCGATGCGGAGTCGCGGAGAACCTAACGGGTTACCGGGGCTCCGGCTCGACGTGCAGGAGAAGGAACGGGGTGGTTTTTAGTCAGTAACAGTCTGACACTCCCTCCCGCCTCAACCAGGCGGGAGCAGTCATTCGATGATTTTCCCCGCTTAAAAAAAGTCTATAGTAGTCAAGTCCTACAGTCATTGTTTCAATGTCGAATGTATTGTATTAAAAATCGCATCATCATAAACTTCTCATCAAATTCAGCACCGTATGTTTCTCATAAACTCATAACCTATTCAACCCTCCGTTTGCGGTAGTTTCATTTATTATCATATCTAACACACACTGGGCTATTAAAGTCCCACCATCAATCAATGTTCCGTTCTACAGTTAACTGTTGCCGGCAGAATACAAGCTGATAAATGTTTGAACAACCTTATTTAACATTTTAATGTTCCATAATTGATGACTCAGGTTGAATTTGTGTTTGTTCGTTGTTAGTGCGATTTTTAGCGTCTAACTGTTTGCCAACTGAACTTTGATTAGTAAATATAGTCCAGATTTGGAGTCCATTATTTGCATCGCTGATGTGAAAGACAATTGTTGTTTTTTTTTTAAATATACAATAGTTTTTTTACGCACCTTTAGTTGATGTAGGTCAGTGGTTTAATTGTTTAATTTATTAAATGTTACATTACAATTTATGCTGAATTAATTTTATTGATTTATCAATATTATGATATATTATTCAACTAGCTTCTGCCCGCGACTTCGTACGCGTAATCCCATTTTTTCCCATCCCCGTTCGTGATTTTCGGTAATAAGTAAAAAAAAAAATTGGTTAAAAAGTATCCTATGTCGGTCTCCTGGCTCTAAGATACTTCCCTACCAATTTTCAGCCAAATCTATTCTGCCGTTCTTAACTAACGTGGTGTAACTAACACGACTTTCTTTTATATATAGATTAAAAATAGTTCTATTCTATCCACGGTCAAAAATTTACTGTAGTAAAAAAATATCACATGGTTTGAAGTAAGACGAAGCTCCGAAAAGGGTCTTAAAGCAAAGTTTCCGTCACTAAAACATTATAAGAAGGGTTAATATAATGTAATTACCCTGACGGCAGTTTTAGTCGGTGTTAGTCATGAGCACAGGTGGCGTTAACGACCTAATTTTGTGTTAATCTCAAAAATATTATTACTGTAGTTTATTTGTAGCAGATGTTTTGTTTACACTCTGCTTTTTGGGGTTAAATGTGTAAATAGGTTGTAGAAGAGTACACAATCTACGAATTTACAAATACCTAAGAACAAAAAGACAAAGTCTAACCATGTTACGTGTCGCGGGGCTTAAAAATACTTTTCTACTGTTTGGCCAAAATCAAACTAAATAGTTTTTAATAATTAATTGGCTTTTTTTACAATCAAACGCAACGTTTCAGATTTATGTACGTACCAACTATAGATAGATGAAGTGGCAAGTATTTGACATAACTTGGGTATGGGTATCCATAATAATAAGTTTCAGAACTACACATGAATACTTATTATTCGTTTTGACTTAATAAACTATTGTTTTATACATACATAATACTTAGTTTGCACTACGCTATGTTTTAGTCGAGTAGCGAGTAATTTAGAATCAGGCAAATAGGTGGGACAAATATAAGAGCGCAATGGCACATTTCTTTTTTACCGGTTTCTATAGAAAGAAGGAGATTCTCAGTTCGACCTATATGCATGTATGTTAGTCCGCGATTGTGTCACAAAGTCACAATTGACCAAACCGATATTTTCAGAAAACTGTTTGTTACGCATTTTTTTTTAAGGGGGGGATAATCATCGAATGACTACTCCCGCCTGGGTGAGGCGGGAGGGAGTGTCAGATTCTTACTGACTGACTAAAAACCACCCCGTTCCTTCTCCTCCACGTCGAGCCGGAGCCCCGGTAACCCGTTAGGTTTTCCGCGACTGTTTGTTACGCATAGGAGTAGGTTTTAGTATATATATAAGAATGCTGTATTTGTACCCGCCTTTTAAAAAAAAGATGATTGGTTTTTAAACTTGGTTTAATGAATAAGTATTATTGTAGTCATGGCAAAACATCTTTTTCATAAAACAGTAGTGGATGCGGTATCAATTTGTTTAAAATAACACGTAATGTGGCAAGGCTCCGGCCGCCACCTGGTACAAAGTTACGAAGTTAACTAAATCCCATTTGAGAAATGGCTGTCGATCTTTGCTAGAGTGTCGGGACTTTACTTAAGCCAACTGCCAATAACGCTTTTTCTAAATCACTTGAATGTTTTACATCTTATTTTTATAAGTTAGCTCGATATCTTAAATATTTCTTTATATTGTTTACAATACATTTTTTAAATAAATTCTTTAATGTAAAACTTATGTAGGTATGTAAGTAGATTAAAAAAAAATATGACAGTCACTCTTGAATGTGCAGAATTTGAATGACACAAATTAAAATCGATTATAAGTACGCGAGAATCGACATCGAATAGAAATCATAAAAATCTTTGATACCCAACAAAAATCGACACAATAATTTGACATATATATTTTTTATTAAATGATATGATTTTCATTTCCAGGTGCAGAATATCAAGAGCAAAAATGGCGTTCTGGAGGATATTAACAGTTGCTTTCGCTACATCGATGTTCGCCGAAGCAAAGTCGTACCATTATCAGAAGCGTGAAACATCAGCAAACATATGTGACCCTATATACAACAATACAAATGCCGTACAATGTTACTGTATCCAGACTGGAAACTTGATACGAAGTGCAAGTTGTCACATGGTTAAAAAAGACGTTCCGACAGATGACAAAACTTGGGACAATTTCGAAATTTTAAAAGAAATCACTAAACTCACTATCTCCAACACCAGAGGCATCGCAATTCCCTACATACCCACGAATGCTCTAAAACATACGAATAAGTTATTGAAAGTGGACGTAAAGTATGGGAATATTGAAAGAATCGATGCTTTCGCTTTTGCCAATTTGAGTCTAATTGAAGAAATTATGTTAAGTGATAATCAAATAAAAATACTGAAAAAACATGCTTTTGCCCATCATAGAGACTTAACCGTTCTTGGGTTGGATTCCAACAACATAATCGAGATAAATAGAGATGTATTTATTGAATTACCATCACTAGAAACACTATATCTCACAAACAACAAAATAACTACAATACATGATAAAGCGTTTGTACATTTAATCAACTTAAAAGAACTCGAAATAGATCGAAACGGTCTTTTTAGTTTGAATAGCGAGACGTTTTCAGGGCTAAGAAATTTGCAAAAATTAGATCTCAGTAGTAACAACCTTGAAGTGATCGGAGACAATACATTTTTGCCTCTGGTCAACCTTAGAACATTGAATTTGGAAGAGAATAAAATTCAAATGCTGGACGAGAAAGCGTTCAACGGTTTGGCACAGCTAAATATTTTGAACTTGGCACATAATAAGCTCACAACTATTGAAAATGTCAAAACATTTGAAGGTCTGGAATCGCTAACAATGTTAAATTTAAAAAGCAATTTGCTTAATGAACTGAAGCCTCAAGTAATGTCACCAATATTGAAAAACTTCTACGGCAATACCAGTAGCTTGGATGTGGAAGGTGAGATATTATGTCTGTTTTTTTATATAAAATACTTATCTTAAAATATTGGTTCTGTTATCCATTATTCTAATCTGTTATACCTCTAAAAGTATAGTATTCTCTTCATCAGTGATGTTATAAGGCCCAATTTTAAGAGGGGTTAGAGTTAAATAGGTGACTTTATTTGAAGTTATATGTAGTACCTAAAATAGGTACAATTTCTACAGACGTCACAAATTTCCAGATGATTGAAATTAATTAAAGGATTAAGATTAAACATAATTAGCCACTAGAAATAAAAAAAAATACAAATCACAAACAATAATTCAGACTGTAATTTTTAATTTTCAGAAAACAACTTCCCTTGCGACTGCCGTTTAGATTGGTTCATATCACTGATGAATAAGACGCAGAACATTCATTTCAAACGCGCTATTGAGAACCTTAAATGTAATCCAGACAACAATTTAAGGGAACTGTGGGCCAAAACTGAAGAACTTGAAAAGAATACGGGTCAAGTCCTTGCTGAAGAAGAGGAATCTCAAGTACAAAATACGGACTACGAATACTATGACGAGACACAACTCAATGGAAAACTATTCTACATAGATGTAAGGGATTTGGCAAACTGCACTAACACTAGTCGTCGAGTACTAAACGCGGCAGTTGTTGGAAAGAAACCAGCAACAATTGTGGACGCAGATGCCAAGTTATCTACCAAAGCAAAAGCTAGTCCAGTAACTACACCGATGTCCACAACAGAATACGAAATGTCATCATCTGTAACGACACCTGAAGACACTGAAGATGTAGTTGAAACTAAGAAATCCAAAGAAGATGGAATATTGAAACCAAATAAAGAAAACGAAACGAAGAATAAAGAATCATTTACAACTGTTCGTCTTGTTACTGTTTCTGCTAAACCCCTTGAGCATAATTATGATCATGACATGGCTTCGGACGAAGCACGACCAGAGAAAGTTAAGGAGCACACTCGCAAGAGCATTCAAGACGATATACAATCCTCGCGTAAGAGGGCCGACAGTAGTGCAAGCAGTAATGTGAATAGTGTGGCTTTAGTAACAATGATATTATGCTTTAGACTGTACTTTTATTAAATCACTAAATAATACAATAGTTGTTTAGCCGATAATGTTATTCTCTCACAGTCATTAAAATAAATAATTTTAAGATTCAAATTGTTTTATTTCCTTATCATGACTAAATGACACTTACGTGAAGTGTATGCTGAACCACGATAACTGGAGTCGACCTAATGATGTCCTGTGTTCGAAACTCAGGTAAAATAATCTATACTCTCGTTGATCAATAGTCAAGATATCTATATAATCCCTATGGTTATACATAGTCTCGATAAATTGAGGAATAAGTAGGTACCTAGTACTAACTGAAGAAGTTTTCCTTCTTCTGAACTCCATTAGTGGGTACTCAACTACCTAGGTATCAACAATCACTGCAATAATACGTAATCATTTTGCTTACCCTTATTGACAATTTTTATTCCTCAAATATTGTTTTTATATTTGATTGGCCGACGTTTGACCACTATCTCGCCTGGTGGTAAGCGATGATGCCGTCTACGATGCACTTGTCATAGTTAAACCGAAGTAATCATAAACTATGACTGCCTCGTTGGCCGTGTGGTCGCAAGTACGACTGCCGGGCAAGGGGTCTCGGGTTCGATTCCCAGGTCGGGCAAGTATTACTGGGTTTTTAAAAAAATCTCAGTAGTAGCACAGAGTCTTGAATTGTGCCCGGTATATGGCAATAGGCTCACCCCCTATTACATGGGACTCATAACATAAATAGTGATAAGTGAGTGTTACATTGTAGTGGCATAGTGTGCACCTCTGCCTACCCCTTTGGGGATAAAAGTTTTTACCGATAATTAATTAATTTAACGTTATTTAAATTTGTAGTATGTACTGCCATCTAGACCAGTTCTTGTAGTACTAAAATTGGAGCGATGTCAAATACATCTTACATGCATGTTTTCATAGATGGCGCTTAAGTGTTTATACTATAATGGCAGAAGATGGCGCTAAGATTCTCTTTGAAATAGCTAGCCGGAAGAAAGTGGCATAAAGTAAATGATTCCTACTGAATATTATTATTGTTATTGTTATTACAAAAAATAGTTAAAAGTAACTTATAAATTTTTACTTCTAATTTTTATTTAATATATAACGTATTCTAACATTGTACTTTACTCTAAGTACATAGGTTTGTGTTGTACGTTTTCGATTTATGTAAATAAAATAATAAAAGATAAACAATATTTATTATTGCCATCTATTGTTTTTGTGAAATTAGGATTTTGTAGGAACACAAATAAGAATACTATGCTATGACGATAAGTTCGTAAAGGTTCCTTTAATAATGTATAGATGGCGACATTTGCAAATTTTCTTACCGATGGAAATTCAGTTATCCACAAATCTTAACAAAAATATCTTCCCATCTTCTTTTTAGTCTACCTTTATTTCTTTTCCCTTCTCATGGCATCTAATGCATAATCTTTTTGGCCCATATACTTACTTAGTATTTATTTAATATTACCTACCTTGTCTCTCGTATTGAAAGACAATGTACATTGTTTAAATAGTAGGTGGATAATATTACTTCACAAAGATAAATAGGTAAATATCCACTCGGATTAAGTAAATTAATTTCATTCATTTATAATTTAGTTTCTCTCCGTCTCTTTCTAGGCAATTACATTTTGACGGACAAACGTTTTCTTTATTCAATTAAACCCTCCGAATGTCTCGGAATAAACTGAGAATTTAAAACATAAACAAAAATATAAAGTCAACAAATTGTGTTGGACGTTTACTAGGTAATCACGTTAATCTAGATCTTGTGTAATACGGATAATGGTACTGTTACACATGATAAAATCTTTATTAGCCTTTAGAATCTGCTTGCTCAATAGTTCTATTGAGCATTCTAGAAAAGAGAAAATAAAATAGAAAGTTTGTGGACTTGCAAACATGCCTGAAATGAGCATGCTAATTTTGAGCAACATTGTGATTCTGAACTGACAAGTGCTCTATTGAAGCATGCTTTTGTGATTGAAGATGCAGTAGACAACAATACCGGAAGTATAGACTTATATTTAGATTAACGGGATACCGGGGCTCCGGCTCGAAGTGCAGAAGGAACGGGGTGGTTTTTAGTTCGATGATTTTCCCCCCTTAAAAAAAAGTATAGACTTATATACTTTGTAATAGTGCCATGGTCTATATATTATTCCCCGAACCTGAAATCCATGTAGTTGTAAAGTGGTTGTAGCCTACGTTTGAAAAATAAATAAAATACATAAGACAATATACTTTTTTCTTACTTATATCTTTGTATGCCTATGTATTTATATAAAATGTATCGGAATACTTTATTCTAGGCAATCCTGGGGGCGTTTACTCATATTTTTATGATGTTCACTCAAATCCCTAATATGATTCGATGGTTTTCAATTTCCCGACCGTGATGTAGGCTTGCGTGAGACCCCTGTAATGGAGTGTGGTCGTATAATAAATACTGTTACGACCAAAACATGCCTCACTTGCCCGGGAAAATTTAGATCATCTCAGTGGGTTACCAATTAAACTGCGTAGGTAGTAGACAGGTTCTGTAAGATTTTGTCTGTCTACTATTTATACTACCTACCTAGGTATTTTATAGATACTAGACCCAAGTAATGCAAATCTTAGGCAATTTAAAATTATATAACAGTTATTAGTTGGATCTGAATAAAGGGCTATTTTATTTATTATTTATTTTATTTATTTAGGTAGTAGAAACATTCTTAGTTGGTAAACTTCGTGCCTAAGTTTCAGTTCTACGGTTCTACCGTGGTAAACTAATCGCTTTTTAGGGATATACGAAATTTTTTTACCAGAAAATCATAAAAGTTACTTACGTTTTAAAATTGCAATTGCAACTAATGTTTATACATATATAGGCACCTAAGAAATAAAACAACGACGGTGATATACTTATAAAAATGTTTTATTGTATATAACTAGAAGTTACAATTATTAATCTTTCGACTATATAACATTTTGATTTTTCTACGTAGGTACCTACTTATTGATGACAAAAATAATGAAGGAATGATCAAAAAAATGTAATATTTATTTATTTAGTCTTTACGTGTACAATTTGATTAAATAATGGCAGATAAGGTGAACTTAAGTTTTCCTTTGACATTAATGTCATAATGTAGAAATAAGATACTGAATAAAAAGATCGTAGTATATGTAATATATTAGGTAATACTTAATTATATTTTTAATAAGTATTTCAAGGAGCCATCAGACCACCACAGATGGGGCCTAACAGGGCTGATGCCGATACGGAGCCGCGGAAGACTTAACGGGTTGCCGGGGCTCCGGCTCGAAGTGCATAAGTAGGAACGGGGTGGTTTTTAGTCACTAAGAGTCACTCCCTCCCGCCTCACCCGGGCGGGAGAAGTAATTTGATGATTTTCTCTCCTTAAAAAAAAAGGAACCTAACGTCTTAAAAGCGTTTGACATTTAAGTACCTACACATAAAAAAATCCGAAACTAAAACACAAAACTGTTGTTCCCTAGACATAAAATATAATTTACCTAAAACTGATATTTTTTTATTTTTGTGCTTCCATCTCGCAAATAAACGGTAGCCTTTGGCCACAATCTTCAGTAGAAGTGTAGATATATCCATTACCACCATTATTTGCTACAGTTCCACAATCAGCATTCGGATTGTCGTATGACTGGATGTACATATCGCTGAATTTTTGACCTGTAAGTAATTTTATAATTTAGTGAATCCTTAGGCTGCTCAGAAAAAAGAATGTGATAGAGGCCTTCTATGAATACAGCCTTACCCAAATTGATTAGGTTTTTTTTCTAATTTTGACACGAATTTAAACGATATCTTCCTATTTACTTTAAATTCTCAGATGAATTTGAATATTGAAATAGGTTCTGAAGATGATAAGCAAATTTCTAACTGAGTGACGACATTGATTGGGTGTCGGTTTTCTGTGAGGCCGTTGTATCACTGCGGTTGTACAAATTGTGCCGAAGCATGGCTCTCCCACACTTAATTATATTTATGTATAATGCAATGCATGTGATAATTAACACTTTCCAAGTTCATCAAGTCCAAAAAGTAAGGACTACTGTTCTCGTTAACAGTACTTTATGCGCAATTAATATTCGTCAATTGACGATTGTTAGGCGAATACCTCTTTTTTGCGTAGAAACAAACGATATTTTGTCGACTACACGGCAATGTCGTCGCTCAGTGTTATAAATTTGCTTATCATCTTCATCTTCTTAGCGAAGCAGTCATGCTAGCTAAGAAGGAGGCGAGACGCGTGAGGCAGCGAAGCGCTGCCTCCTCTTAACCAAGCCATCGCGAAGGACACTCGGGGCGTCCGGGATCACGGGACGATCTCCGGCCACCGTAACCGCGGGTCTGCGGACAGCGAGCATGAGTGGCTCCCCGTCCGACCAGAGCCAGACCCGAACGTACGGCGCGTCGCGTTCCGCGCGCGCCTCAATGAGCTATCAGACCACCACGGATGGGACCCAATAGGGCTGATGCCGATTCGGAGTCGCGGAGAACCTAACGGGTTACCGGCACTCCGGCTCGAAGCGCAGGAGTAGGAACGGGATGGTTTTTAGTCAGTAAGAGTGACACTCCCACCCGCCTCACCCGGGCGGGAGAAGCCATTCGATGATTTAGCCCCCTTAAAAAAAAGTGTTTTGGATGGCCAAACACTTATAGTATATTTCGTCAAGTGATTCGACTGCTCGTTTACCGACTTATTCCATAAAAATGCCCGTATGCATCGTATTTATATTTAACTGGACTAGAATTTCTAAATTAATAGAAACTTGGTAAAATTGACTGACTATGACGACCTGATTTTTTTGAGGGTTAGGTTCAATATCATTAGCCTAAAATATAGAATTTGTACACGTACCTTTCACTGTATAGTAATCACTTTGAGAGAAAAGTCTTCGGACTCCTACAAAGTAATGATTACTATCATCGATTATATTATAAACATCCTTTGCTTGTGCACTGTTCTCTATGACTGCCAGTATTCCACCTTCCATGAAACAAGTCTTCATAGCATCCTGCCACATGTGCGGTTTCTTGTTTATCTTATAACATTTCCGAGAAGATTTTACATATTTGTAACCTGAAATCATGATAGTATTTTATGAACTAGCTTTCTGCTCGCACCTCCACTATGACCCTCTGTGCGTTGTGACGAGACAAAAAGAAATAAACGCATTTTCACATTTATAATATTAGTAAGGACATTATTTTAATATAGCACTTCTGTCATAAGAACATTTTTGCTCAACTTCGATTTCGTACATTTTAGGTATCTAAAATACATAATTATAATTTCAAAATGGAAACCCGAATAATCGGGACATGGCATAAAAATCGAATTTGAGATTTACTACTGGACACTTTTGTGATATTGAAATTGAATGTAAGAAAAGCTGTAATTATATTACCGCGATCAATAGTCGGACATGATTCGTCGTCAGTTTTCTTGCAAACGAAAGGTAAGGGTGTACTCTGTGTGCGAATACAAACATCCTCATGAAACATGCCGTTGTCTATGTTCATCGTCACGCAGTTGTCCATTAGATCACTCTGAGGACTGTTAACATCGAGTGGATATGGTGTCGAATGACCTAAAAAAAATATCTTTGTTTCTCATTACCTCATTACTGGTATATCTTCCACTAGTTAGACATTACACCTATATTTTGTTTACTGGAATAATATATAAACGTTGATTCAAAGTTTTACTTTATTTTTATATGCGTGTTAATAGTGTGCTTCAGAAGGCATCAAATGATAATGCAATAATAAAGTAGATAGTAATAAATAGCGCACTTACCATCAACGGTAATAAACTCTCCTAAGTCAAATTCGTTGTGGAATCCAACAAATATTTCTGTCACATTTGGCTCTTCGGTCATTTTATCAGTCAAATTCTTCACCAAAGCCCATTCTCCTCTGATTTTCGGATAGAACAATGTGGCGCCTTCATCATCGCAGGCCATGAAAGCCAAGTTCCAATTTGTTCCACTCAAGTCCCAGTGGAGTTTATAGAAAGCATCAAACTCCTCAATGTACGTGTAGTCTTTTCTATAAAACGGTACACGGCGGGAGTACGCCGAAGGGAGTGTTATGCCTGCAAAAAATTTATTGTAAGAGTACTAAAGCTACCTTTGCCCACGGTTTCGACTGTTATCAGGTTTGTGTCTAAAACAAACTTATCGCTAAGAAGTTTATTTGTGACAGGTGATTTAACTAATCCTGAACTATTACGGTTTTTAAAATAAGTTCTTAGAATATTTAAAAAACTTACCTATTAAAGAAATCAGTATGACAATGGACTTCATCGCTGCTAGTTATACTACACAGTATTAAACTAGGACACAAGGAACATTACATTTATATACACACGAATAAAAATTATATTCTTGTTTATGGTCGGGTAAGACCTTGCTTCGTATAAAACATAAGCAGACATTTTTGTTATACAGGTTGTTTCAATCACAGATGAGCTTTATTTTTAATACATCATATAATCTGTGTAGGTAACTTATATCATACGTGCAAGCGACAGTACACCATCACATCTATTTAAATTGCATCTATTGGAAACATTTTTTGTTTACTTTAATTTCGAAGTAACCGCGATTGTCATTGAGGCAGAGCCATTCTTTCTTATTGTATAAGCCGGTAAATAAACTACGAATCACCTGATGTTAAGCAGTCGGGGCCGCCCGCCGGGGGCGCCTCCGGTGTTTCAGGTGTCCATACACCTGAAACACCGGAGGCGCTACAATTGCGTTACCGGCCTTTAAGGGAATAAAATTTTGAGATTGTTGGGAAGATTGGGGAGGGGGTAATTAGGCCTCCGGTAACCTCACTGGCTCAACTGGAGTGAAGCTTCGGCTAAACGGCATGAAACAACTCTTGTGTTGTGTTTCGCCGTATGAGTGAGGCTACTGGAGATTTAATCTTGCCTTGGCCCATCACCAATTCCCCTCAAATCCCGAAAATCCAAAAGGCCGATAACACACTTGTTACTTCTCTGATACTGCGGGCGGCGCCAATTGCTTAGCATCAGGTGACCAGTAGCCTTATTCCATAAAAATATATGCACTTGTAAATTTAAACATGCTGTAAGTAATCTACATTTTTATCGCCGGGTGACGGATGTCAAAGGTTTGAGTCTGCAAAGATAGTATATAGGACTTTATTTATTGCTGACAACTGGTATCGTTATTTTCATTAGTTTTTGCCCACGGTTTTGCCTGCCATGCTAAAAAGTAATATTTTAAAACTTCAACGTAAGATAGCACTTTGAGAATACAGAAGTTGTACGAAGAAATACCTATTATATAAATAGGAATTGTTAAAAATAATGACTAAAGATCTCTCTTTAGTCATTATTTTTCTCATTATTTACCTCTCGGTAATGTTCTTTAAATAGATTTTTGAACTGAGGTAGAGTTTGAGCACGCCTTTCCTTAATCGGCAAGGCATTCTATAACCGAGCCTCTTTAATAGTGAAGGAATTACCAAAAAAGGAAGTGGAGTGGAGTACCACAAAAAAAAAAAACAAACGTGAAGACTTGTAGCCATAGCCAACAATTTTGATCTGAAGTAGGAATTGAATTATTGTCATCAGTATTATAATACACTAATATGATTCTCCGACCAGGCTATTGTCAAATAGCCAATCTTTAAATAGCCTATTATCTAATAACCTGTGTTTTCGCCCACGGAGAGCTTTCAACCCCAGTTCCCGCAATTTGGTGACCGTCTGCTGTGCAGTACCTCTGAGGTCAAAGCAGAGCTAAAACACACGGAGCCGCATTCATTGTGGTTTGAATACAAAATAAACAATGCGATGTGTCTCGACCATGCCGCGCAGCACTGCCGCGCAGGAGATCTAAACTAGTCGCGCGGAAATATTGTGTGCCGCGAATGCCGCGCGCAGCTGCCGCGCAGCTTACACGCCGTGTTTGGACACACCTTTAAATTATACATCGAAAGTACTCCTTATGGCAAGTTGTTTTGCTGCGGGACTGAAACGAAACAGATTTCACAGTCTATAAGGTAACAACATTCATTACCTATTTTTAAATTGACTGTACGAACGGCGCGGATAGCAATCGACTACCGCACAACCTGTAGCGAGTTCGATTCCTGCACGGAGTAATTCTTTGCGTGACCTTCACATTGTTGTTTCGGTTCCGGCTGTCAAATTGAATGTTTTTATGTGATATTATGTTTGCAGACGCAACCACGATACAGGAGAAAATCTCAGTGTGGGGTAACGTTCATATCTTTTTCTGTTTATAATTAATATAAAGCGACTATTCATACTATTCAACTAAGAATATGCGCAAAAAATACGTTCTAAGTGTCAAGCCGAATAGCATTCGCATTCGTAACATAATGTCTGATTGTCCGGCTCCAGTGAACCAACCAATCCGAGCGCCGAACGCGCTATATTAGGTACTATTACGTTACGAATGCGATAGTTAGGTATTCGTACTTTTTTTTAAAGGGAGAAATCATCGAATTCCTTCTCCCGCCTAGGTGAGGCTGGGAGTGTCAGACTCTTACTGATTAAAAACCACCCCGTTCCTACTCCTGTCCTTCGAGCTGGGACCCCAGCAACCCGTTAAGTCCTTCGCGGCTCCGTATCGGCATTAGTCCTATTGGGCGCCAAACGTGGCGGTCTGATGGCTCTCTCAGGCGCACGCGGAAAGCGATCCCCGACGCCCGGAGTGTCCTTCGTGACACACGCGTCCCGCCTCCTCCTTAGCTAGCATGACTGCTTCGTAAAAGGACGTCATTCCAGTCCTCCTCACTCCGCATTATGACACGGACTAGGACCAGACGCGAGAGGTCGCCGTCGCCGATCACATCCAGCGGTGCATCAGCCCACGCAGGGCATGCCCCTACTATGAGGTCCACCCTGTCCTGAGGGCGGTCTTCACATTGATGACACCCGGGCGTTTATTCCCGCCCTATCAGACACAGGTATCTCCCGAAGCTCCCATATCTGGTAAGGACCTGCATCAGGTGGTAGGTGAGGACGCCGTAGCGCCTCTCAAGCCACTTCTTAAAGAGGGGACTCACAGTTGCAATGGCAGCGAGCAAAGTTATTCGTGCTTGGCACTTTGCTTTGCCAGGACGGAAGGACAAACACAAGGACAATATTAATATTGTTAGTAGTGTAATGTTATTAATATAATATTATCGCACATCCGGCAGATGTACAAACTTTTTACAAGATAAATAATTTGCTTTGTTTGTTGTTGACCAAAATGATCGTAAATTCAACTTCCAGGTATTGAGACTGTTGGAGGACACGGTGGAGCATTCGGTGGCGGTGTGTTCTGCTTGGGCTGAGCACCGCCGTGTCCTCACGGATGTGATCGGCGACGGCGACCTCTCGCGTCTGGCTACGGTTCAGACCATGGTACGGAGCGAGGGGGACTGGGATGCTGTCTCGTCCTTCTGCGAAGCAGTCATGCTAGCTAAGGCGGAGGCGGAGCGAGTGAGGGAACGAACCTCCTCACGCCCCAGCCGTCGCGAGAGACACTCTGGGCGTCGGACATCTCGACGATCTCCGGCCACTGTAAGCTCGGGCCTACGGATGGCGAGCACGGATGACTCGCCGTGGTTGGACTAGAAACGGGGTGGTTTTTAGTTAGTAAGAGTCTGACTCTCTCGCCTCACCCGAGCGGGAGAAGTCAAGGGATCATTTTTACCTCTCAAAAAAAGGTATTGAGACTGTTCGATTCACTAGTGTTGCAATATTTTTCAAACCAATAAACTATTCAACGTTATTATATTAGTATACTAGCGACCCGCCCCGGCTTCGCACGGGTGCAATATGTATATACATACAAACCTTCCTTAAGAATCACTCTATCTATTAAAAAAAACCGCATCAAAATCCGTTGCGTAGTTTTAAAGATCTAAGCATACATACGGACATACAGCGAAAGCGACTTTGTTTTATACTATGTATTGATACTGTATGTATATTGTATAGTTGAAGAGTTTTTTTGTTCATTTCTTTGAAAGCGCTAACCTCGAAACTACTGGCTTGAATTTGAAATACTTTTTGTGTTAGATAGTCTAACCTCAGTTATAGTATATGTATAACATCAAAACATCACGCTTTTTTATCCCCGAAGGGATACGCAGACTTGCACATTACGGCTTTTAATGCCACTGTATTATGTAACACCCACTTTGCACTATTTATGTTATGAGTCCCATGTAATAGCGGGTGAGCCTATAGCCATGAATTGGGCATAATTACAGACTCTGTGCTACCCCGGAGGTTGTAGGCTGGGGTCGTGCGGTCTAGTAACAGTCTGATACTCCCTCTCGCCTCCCCCGGGCGGGAGAAGTCATTCGATGATTTTCCCCCCTCAAAAAAAAGACTCCATCACTGAGAATTTTTAAAAACCCAGTAATACATTGCCCGACCCGGGAATCGAACCCGAGACCACTTACCCTGCAGTCGCACTTGCGACCATTCGGCCAACGAGGCAGGCTTAGTTATAGTGTACTATAATATTTATTTATACAAAACCGTAAGTATAACTTGTTCAGAAAATTGTGCACGCCATTATGAAATGAAGAAGGTTATTGTGCAGAATTAGGTACATAGAGTATGTAGGTCGATGCGTACCTACTGTATAAATTATTGCTTGTGTACACAATTTCTATTACAATGTCAGCAATTACTAACTATAAACACTGTTACAATGTGTGCGTCCTACTGATATTATAAATCCGAAAGTTTGTATGTTTTTTATTAGAGCTTCACATCAAAACGGGTGAAGGGACCGCGGTATTTGGAATAGAGGTAGATTATGTTAAGTATGTATGACTGTATTATAATTATCTAAGTAAGTATGTATTTATATATAGGTTGTTATTTATTACTAATATTTGCTTAGTCACCTGTCACTTTCATCTCTGCACCACCTTAATAAGGTCGACTGACAATGCCCAAGGCATTAAGTACACCTGTACATAATATGTTTCTGTACTAAGTCTACTTCTGTACTAAGTCAAAATGTCGTGGTGGCCCGGAGGTTTAAGACGCCCGCTTCTCATGCATGAGGGTGCGGGTTCGAAACCTACCAACGGCAAGTACCAATGTGACTTTTTCCGAGTTATATGTACTTTCTAAGATTATTCAGACACCACTGACAAACGGTGAAGGAAAACATCGTGAGGAAACCTGGACTTATAATTTCTAATTATAAGTTTGTAATCGCCAACCCGCATTGAGCAAACGTGGTGATTAATGCTCAAACCTTCTCCGTGTGAGAAGAGGCTTTGCTCAGCAGTG